CATAAAGATCAAAAAATCACAGACAAGCCACGAGAGAAAACCTTCTAATGTCATGTTACATAGAGCATGAAGCCTACTCTGCTCACAAGGAACAAAAGGAAGGCTATGGAAATATCTTTGAAACTTCCTTGCCTAGAAACCAAGTTAAGGTCATAAGTTCATTATAATCAATGCATCCAACTAATTCCAGTGCAACTGTTAGATCTTTTACTCAACAAACATTTTCATACCAATGCCCTAAGCACAGAAAAACGAAGCAGTGATGTACATTAAAGTGAGAAGACAAGAGAGAGTGATCATTTAAAAGGAAACACTACAAATGATATCCTATAGGGTGACATTTATGACAGAAAGCGAATCAAGCAACTGAACCTTCCACCCCCAAAACAGAAAAAAGAAAACCCAGAGCAAACCATACACGAACAGAGGCAACCAACGCCAACAAAGGTGATAAACTACTCCGTTGACATCCCTTTTTGTCTTTAGGATATAAGAGCCAAATCATGGAGCACATAACGTTAAATAACACCCCAACCCTGAACTTTCAGCTCAGGCCAAGCGAGAGCCAGACACCTTCCCACACAACCAAAGGACCACAAGAGTTGATTCAGAAACACCTCGGGTTCTCGCACCTTCAGTGCAAGGTTAAACCAACAGCCTGGAGACGCTCCATGAATCCCATCCGCTCCCTGCAACCTCTTGGCTCTCGTAGAGTGCGCAGCAGCCTGCTCAAGAGTTACCCGACGAGCCGGGCAGCGTCACGTGGCTGCCGGCGGCCTGCCCCGCGGCCCTGGCAGCCTGCAGGAACACGAGCACCATGCGCGCGCTGCCCGCCTGCGACCTGGCCTGCTGGGTGTGCGTCACGGTGGGAGCACGAGCCTACCGGTGGCGCCGCACGGCGGCGTCTTTTCCAGTCACGGAGAGATGCCACCGCTCCACATCTCTCACCTCCGCCTGACTAAGCACAAGAACAGGTGCAGTCCAGGAACCACAGGGGCCCTGCCAACCCCTGTTAGGAGAGGTCGCCGTGACTCACGGTAAAAGACCACGATTGAGGTTCCTCTGTGGCCAGGAATTTACATATTCTCGCAGCCTCAAAACCTGCATGATAGGTTATATTGGAAAATGAGCAAACTGAAGAGAGAAGAGTAAAGAAAGTTTACCATGTAGAATTAAAAAGAAGGTGACACCACTGATAAATATAGACTTAGGAGAGAATAAAAGAGGACTCCAGGTTGAGAGAAACAGAAACCAGATAGCACCAACTGTCCTTGCACAAGGACCTTGCACCAAAGACCTGACAAACTCTCTAGCATGGCCAAGCACATGAGGCCCGCCCTAGCTAAGTACCGCCCCCACTATAGTGGCCTCTATGACAACTCAGCCACCAGAGAAATACTATTGCCTAGGTAGCACACACCTGAGACAGTGGACACTCCCCATCCCCCTTCTTAGGACATTTACCAGAAAGGGGCTCACAATCGTAAACATGTAGCTCTTATAACTCAGAAATGTCTTTCTCAAGGGCCTGAGAGCCATTTCTTTAAAATGTATTATAGACATCAGGAAGGGTAAGGCCCCAGTCTCCCTATCTCTGTGGAAGGACAGAACCCTAACTTAGACACCTGCCTGCTTGCAGACGCAGCTGGCCTGTTCCCCTTCACACGGACCAACGCTTTGTACTTCTTTCACTTCTCTGACTCTACTGAGCCCCTGCACTGCCCCCTCCCTCCCTCTCCCTTGAAAATGCCCACATCACCTCTGCCCAAATTGGAATGAGGCTCTGCTCTTTCCCCTACTTGGCAGTAGTTACCGAGTGACACCAGCTGAGGCTAAAGGATAGAAGGCACTCAACTTGAAACCTGACTGCCAAGCTATCAATTTGCATAGGCATACTGAAGGAGGAAAAATGAGGAAAGAAGGATCGTAGATAGAAAAGCAAGCACTGCAAATGCATTCTGAACAGGGTGGGGCTCTTGTTTCCATTGCTACTAGTGAAGATCCATTCTACTTCTATTGCCACTTTCCAGAAGGAATCTTATTTGGAAATTCCTTGGGAAGCAGTGGAAACTGGTAAGCTGATGTCACCTGAAACGACAAACTCCTATCTGTTCATCTTGGCAAAAATCAACATCTGGTCTACTCACCTCTTCTGCCAAATAAGGTAAAAGCAATACAGATGTAAATCAGGAAATTAAAGAGTTACTACTAAATTTAAGCTCTTTCTCCAAGAACTGGACTAGCACACCACAATGTCCAAACCCTAAACATAGTCAGAAGCAGCAGCTGGTCTATAGCAATAACAAGTAACCTTGTGCTTCTGGGACTTGCAGCAAGTTTAAAATTTGAGAGACGAAAGGTAGCAACTCATCCAACAGAAGGACATATTAAAAGTTACAAGGTAAAATGTATTATACAACATGGTTACTTCTCTCTGGCCAACTCCAAAATAAACTGATATTGTCCCAGCATCATCTTGTGGTTTAAAAAATATCAAAATATTCAAATGGACTTGTCACAGGGAAACATATTTGAGTTTCTTACATTCCACTTGAAATGGAATGTAACTTTATGTATTAATTGGGATATGAGGTTCCCTGTCCATCCAAGTATTGATTTGTATTCCACCAAGGTGTTTTTAAATATCAGACCTTACAACTGAGTTGACATTTAAAAGTGCTAGAAGAAGAGCTTAGATTATTTGCACTAATTCTTGCTTTCTCAAAATAATAATATGATTAAAATAGCTCCCTTCTCCCCACCTTTTCTGTCGTATAAATCCTGGGAATTTAAAAAACATTTACAAGCTTACTCAGAGCAAGACCTGTGGGATGTCCCAGGCTCCTACAAACCTACCTCTCCATTGCAGTAGCAGTAGATGATAGACACAAAGAAACCCTGCAGAACACACAAAAAAGAATGTTACTTCACTGACAACTCACGAAGCTCACAGCACCAGTGTCTTGGGTCAAAATGTATATGCTGAAAAACTGGGTTTTTTAATGATTGCTTCAGAAAATTACACAAGTTCTTATCTCCTAATGTTTCCAAATCCTTAAGTTTATATTTAATTTGATTGAGATCTTTCCTTGGTGTCAGCCAAACCAAGCAAGTCACTGAATAAAACACTCCAAGATACACAAAGAACACATTTCTTTTATATTAGTTTCATTTATGTTGTCACTCAAGGATCACATAATGTCCATCCCCTGCTTGGTCAAAAGAGATATTTATGAGCTGTGAATGCTAAAAACTACAGGCATAGGAACCACAGGGGCACCTGCAACCCCTGTTAGGAGGAGGTTCGCCTTGACTTCAACGATGGTAATAACCACGGATTGAAGTTCCTCTGTGTGCCAGGGAATTTACATATATATTCCCTCGCAGCCTCAAAAACCTTCATGATAGGTTATTATTTTTGGAAATGAGCAAACTGAAGATGAGAGAGAGGTAAAGAAATTATCCATGGTTAGAATTAAATAGAAGTTGACGCGCAGCTGATAGAAATATATGACTTATGGGAGAGAATAAAAGAGGACTCCAGGTTGGAGGAGAAACAGATATTACAGATAGCACCAGACTGTCGCTTGCACATGACCTTGCACCAAGAGACCTGACCAAACTCTCTAGCATGGGCTCCACGCAGCATGAGGCCTCGTCCCTAGCTAAGGTGATCCCGGCCCCTTATAGTGCCTGCCTGATGACACTCAATGCCACCAGAAATTTACTATTTGCTTCGAGTAGCACACACTGATGACGAGTCTGTGCTATATCAGAGCGCCTTATTCATCATGACACTATTGGCATATTGGTTAAATCATTCAGCAAAATAAGATAGATCAGCTTGATCTGTGTCATTTTACCTGGAAACATGTTGCACTGATACTTTTTATTTCCTACATGTATGTCTTCGCCACTGGAATGGAAACTTCATGAGAGTCAAAGGCTGTTACATATTACAAGTTCCCAAAATACAATCTACCCAGAAGGAATTAACTGAATTTATTTTTTATTGGTTAATGGGCTACATATATATTGGTGACAATATGGCATCATGATTAAACACATGAGAATTAATATCTTACCGGCCTCTGAGTGGAAGTTTTTCCAAGTTCTTGGTGTTCGTTGCAGAAAAGAAATTTCAGCCTGCACCACATAAACCATGCAAGAGAAAGCTTTATCGACAGTGAAAGTATTAATACGCTCTCAGGAAAGAGAGCAAGCAGGCTGGAAAAGAACAGCTGCCCTGAGAGAAAGTGGTCTTAAGTCTTTTGTAGTCTTACTATTAAAATTTAGGGGAGGAATACTCAAGGTCAAGGGGTTGGCTTTTACTAAGACTTTGGGTAGTAATTCCTAGAATTGGGTTTCCTCCCATTTTCATACTTTATATGGTTGCTTCAGAACTATCATGGTGATTTCAAGGGCAGAGAAATTTTAAAACCACAATGTAAATGATATTGTAATTAGCCAAAGTTCCTGTAAGGTGGCAGAGATAGCAGATAAGAACTGGTCAAAGCCAGTTCTTGCCTGCGGTTATCAGCCCCTTTTGTTTAAAGGCTGTTTTACTTCTAATTGCTCTATCTGATCTCCAAGCACTTGCATCTAGTCTCAGCCCTATCTCCTAGTCTCCTACTCTAACAAATAGATCTGTGTGTAAAACCATGCTCAGTCAATGACTAGCTGTGCAATTTTGGGCAAGTTACTCCACCTCTATGAGCCACGCTGTTGTCTGTGAAAAGAGTGACAGTTATAAGACTTACTCCGTACGTTTGTATTGAGGATTAAGTAAATTAATGCTTATAATAACCTAGCAGGATGCCTGTTGATACATGACATGAACTCAATAAATGCTTGCAAAACTGCAACATACTGAAATTTCAAGTCCAGTAAAGTAAGAAAGCTAAATGCTGATATCTGTACATTTGAAGAAGGGAAGTTTGCTTGGTTTTCAAAAATAAAGTGGGATGCTGAAAGGAAATTTTAAAAAGTAACCAGAAATGTATTTTTAAAGCAAACTTTTAATTTATCCCACATGCCATGTGTAGTATTATGGTAACAGATCAAACAAGAAAAAGATACAGATGCAGTGTGATTTACTATCAATATAAATGATTACAAATAAAATCAGTTGCAGACACAGGCTCACTAATTGAGAAAACCTTTCTACATGTCATGGTTTACAAAGGAGTGAAGACCTGATCTCTGCTCACAAAGGGGACATCCAAAAGGAAGGCTATGTGAAATATTCTTTTTTTGAGAGACTTTCCTTGCTCCTAGAAACAAGTTTAATTGTCCTAAGTTCATTATTTTATCAATGTCCAGCCAACTAATTTTCCAGTGCATACTTGTTTTTAGATCTTTTATCTTTCAACAAACATTTTTCATATCCTAATTGCTCCCTATGCACAGGCAAAACGAATGCAGTGATAGTACATTAAAGTGAGAAAGACAAGAAGAGAGTGCTCATTTCTTAAAAGGAAAATGACACATACTAAATGATTTTTATCCTATTTAGGGTGACATTTATGACAGAAAGCTGGAATCAAGCAACTGAAACCTTTTTCACCCAAAAGTAGCAGAAAAAAAAGAAAAGAACAATCACAGAGCAAGTACCATACACGAATCTAGAGGAGAACCTGACGCCAACATAAGGTGATAAACTACTCCGTTGACATTTCCCTTTTTGTGTCTTTAGGATTTGTAAGAGCCAAATTCATGGAGCACATAAACTTTTAAATAACACCCTAACCCTGAACTTTCAGCCTTCAGGCTCAAGCGGAGGAATGCCAGACAACCTTTGCTCACACAACCAAAGGGACCAGCCCGTTCGAGCCACAAGAGTTGATTCAGAAAACATCCTCGGTTTCTCTGCATCCTTCAGTGTCTAGGTTAAACGCCACAGGCCTGGAAGACGCCTCCATTGGAATGCCATTGCCCTGCTCCCCGCAACCTTCCTTGGTCTCCTCGTGGATGGAGTGCGGCAGGCAGTCCTGCTCCGAGTTACTCCCGACGTAGCCGGGCAGCGTCACGTGGCTGTCGGGCTGCCTGCCCGCGCCCCTGGCCGCCCTGCCGGACACGAGCACCATGCGCGCGCTGGCCGCCGCCTGCGACTGGCTGCTGGTGCTGTGCGTCACGGTGGTGAGCACCGAGCCGTACCGGTGGCTGCCGCACGGCGGCGTCCTTTTCCAGTCGACGGAGAGATTCCACCGGCTCCACATCTTCTTCACCTCCGCCTGAACCTAAGCCACAAGAAACAGGTGCATCAGGAACCACAGGGGCACCTGCAACCCCTGTTAGGAGGAGGTTCGCCTTGACTTCAACGATGGTAATAACCACGGATTGAGGTTCCTCTGTGTGCCAGGGAATTTACATATATATTCCCTCGCAGCCTCAAAAACCTTCATGATAGGTTATTATTTTTGGAAATGAGCAAACTGAAGATGAGAGAGAGGTAAAGAAATTTATCCATGGTTAGAATTTAAATAGAAGTTGACACGCAGCTGATAGAAATATATGACTTATGGGAGAGAATAAAAGAGGACTCCAGGTTGGAGGAGAAACAGATATTACAGATAGCACCAGACTGTCGCTTGCACATGACCTTGCACCAAGAGACCTGACCAAACTCTCTAGCATGGCTCCAAGCAGCATGAGGCCACATCCCTAGCTAAGGTGATCCCGGCCCCCTTATAGTGCCTGCCTGATGACACTCAATGCCACCAGAGAAATTTACTATTTGCTCTAGGTAGCACACACCTGATGACAGGTCTGTGACCACTCCCCATCCCCCTTCTTAGGACATTTACCAGAAAGGGGCTCACAATCGTAAACATGTAGCTCTTATAACTCAGAAATGTCTTTCTCAAGGGCCTGAGAGCCATTTCTTTAAAATGTATTATAGATATCAGGAAGGGTAAGGCCCCAGTCTCCCTATCTCTGTGGAAGGACAGAACCCTAACTTAGACACCTGCCTGCTTGCAGACGCAGCTGGCCTGTTCCCCTTCACACGGACCAACGCTTTGTACTTCTTTCACTTCTCTGACTCTACTAAGCCCCTGCACTGCCCCCTCCCTCCCTCTTCCTTGAAAATGCCCACATCACCTCTGCCCAAATTGGAATGAGGCTCTGCTCTTTCCCCTACTTGGCAGTAGTTACCGAGTGACACCAGCTGAGGCTGAGGGATAGAAGGCACTCAACTTGAAACCTGACTGCCAAGCTATCAATTTGCATAGGCATACTGAAGGAGGAAAAATGAGGAAAGAAGGATCGTAGATAGAAAAGCAAGCACTGCAAATGCATTCTGAACAGGGTGGGGCTCTTGTTTCCATTGCTACTAGTGAAGATCCATTCTACTTCTATTGCCACTTTCCAGAAGGAAGCTTATTTGGAAATTCCTTGGGAAGCAGTGGAAACTGGTAAGCTGATGTCACCTGAAACGACAAACTCCTCCTATCTGTTCATCTTGGCAAAAATCAACATCTGGTCTACTCACCTCTTCTGCCAAATAAGGTAAAAGCAATACAGATGTAAATCAGGAAATTAAAGAGTTACTACTAAATTTAAGCTCTTTCTCCAAGAACTGGACTAGCACACCACAATGTCCAAACCCTAAACATAGTCAGAAGCAGCAGCTGGTCTATAGCAATAACAAGTAACCTTGTGCTTCTGGGACTTGCAGCAAGTTTAAAATTTGAGAGACGAAAGGTAGCAACTCATCCAACAGAAGGACATATTAAAAGTTACAAGGTAAAATGTATTATTATACAACATGGTTACTTCTCTCTGGCCAACTCCAAAATAAACTGATATTGTCCCAGCATCATCTTGTGGTTTAAAAAATATCAAAATATTCAAATGGACTTGTCACAGGGAAACATATTTGAGTTTCTTACATTCCACTTGAAATGGAATGTAAGTTTATGTATTAATTGGGATATGAGGTTCCCTGTCCATCCAAGTATTGATTTGTATTCCAGCAAGGTGTTTTTAAATATCAGACCTTACAACTGAGTTGACATTTAAAAGTGCTAGAAGAAGAGCTTAGATTATTTGCACTAATTCTTGCTTTCTCAAAATAATAATATGATTAAAATAGCTCCCTTCTCCCCACCTTTTCTGTCGTATAAATCCTGGGAATTTAAAAAACATTTACAAGCTTACTCAGAGCAAGACCTGTGGGATGTCCCAGGCTCCTACAAACCTACCTCTCCATTGCAGTAGCAGTAGATGATAGACACAAAGAAACCCTGCAGAACACACAAAAAAGAATGTTACTTCACTGACAACTCACGAAGCTCACAGCACCAGTGTCTTGGGTCAAAATGTATATGCTGAAAAACTGGGTTTTTTAATGATTGCTTCAGAAAATTATACAAGTTCTTATCTTCTAATGTTTCCAAATCCTTAAGTTTACATTTAATTTGATTGAGATCTTTCCTTGGTGTCAGCCAAACCAAGCAAGTCACTGAATAAAACACTCCAAGATACACAAAGAACACATTTCTTTTATATTAGTTTCATTTATGTTGTCACTCAAGGATCACATAATGTCCATCCCCTGCTTGGTCAAAAGAGATATTTATGAGCTGTGAATGCTAAAAACTACAGGCATAGAGTCTTATATGGTAACTACATAAAGAAACTTTGTTTTCATTCATTCAAAAATATTTACTGAAATTACACAGTATGATATGAGCTGCTCAGCATGACAGGGTTAAACAATGTAACAAGACAGACAAGGTCTCTGTTATAGAAGGGAAGAAACATGGATTAAAATATAAACAAACAACCACATGAGAAAAATGCAAGATGATAAGGGTAAGGAAGTAAAATAAGTGATGTTAAAAGAGAATAATGGAGTAGATATATTAGATGAAGAACTCAAGAAAGACTTCTCTGAGGAAGTGACATTTAAACTGGTTTTAGTGACAAGAACAAGAAGCCAGCCATGTGAATATAAGGGAAAAAGGAAACAGCAAGTGTGAGCCCTTGAGGTAGAATGAGCTTGAGGAATAGGCAGTGTGGCAGGATAGTAGGGCTATAACTTAGTGGGCTACATGGAGCATGGCGTGAGACAAGGTGAGAGGTGGACAGGCTCCATGCCACGCAGGGCTGTGTAGACAATGGCATTTGAATTTCATTCTGAGTGCAACAGGAAGCCTTTAGATATTTCTGGCAAGTAAGAGACATGAACAAATTTATATTCTTAAGATTCTTCTGACTATTGTAATATGGACTAGATTTAAGGCAGCAGGAGGCAGCAGCAAATGAGTAAGCAGGATGAAGAGTAATGCATGTGAGAGAGGATGGTACTCACATTTCAAATGAGATACAATGTGTGGCAGCAACCTCTTTTTTATCTCCCTTACCCATTCCCCTTTGTTGCCCTCTTCCTTGCCTTCATCTTTTTTTTTTTTTTTGCCATTCCAGAATCTTGTTTATTTTTTTTAATTTCAAAATTTTTATGGGGGTACAAACATTTGAGTTACATCTATTGCATTTGCACTGCCCAAGTCCCTTTCATTTATTTTGCATACACACAAGCAGAGGTCCCTGCTCTGTGTGTGTTACATATTTTACAAGATGTTTCATTATCTCTCCACCCAGGCTTGTCTGTGTGACAGACAGCTCCAGAACTGCTCCAGCTGTGAGCAGAGGATTAACCTGAACTCTGTAAGACAGAAAAGCACAGGCATCATAGAATATCACCTTCTCATGGCACATCAAAGCCAGAGAAACACGTTGCCGTTGCCGGGGAGAAAAAAACAAAGCAAATTACAAGAATCAAATGACTAGGCACCACTCTTTACCTGAAAGGAGTTGAAGAAGAGCTCACAGTGCATGCGGATCTCCCACCCGAGCCCAGTGAAGGAGTGGGGCAGGCACACGAACACAATGTAATGCACTCCAAACACTAGGACCAGCACCAGCGTGGATTTGGCCAGTTTCCTGAGAAAGAACGTCAAGCCTTTTTACTAATCAACTAGAGTGCCCTTCAGTAGCAATAGCTTGCTGGAAAAATAAAGCTTCTCTGTCTCTTTGGATCCCACCACTGCTACTACCTTTTCCCCCTCCCTCCTCTTCCCATCACTTTTATATTAAATCAGGTAGTTTATTCTCACTTCCCATAATTATTATCCCCTAAATCTTTCTAATCTACTTTCTACTCTTCTTGCTTAAAGGATATTCTTTGCCTAAAATTGTGAGATGTCTTTTTTTTCTGTCCTGTCGTCTTTAACTTCTACATCTGAGACTTATTCCAGGTTAACTGCCTTTACTTTTATAGGAACACTTTGGCTTTTGTTCATTTTAAAATCAGTTACTCCCTTTTTTCTTCTTACATTTGGCTCTCCATTTATCACTGATTATGCTTATTCTTGGAGACATTTCATATTTTCTTATGAGCTGCATGTGGTCAATTCTTCTTGCCTTCTCTGAATATTTTCTGTCAAATATCTCAAAGTATTGATAATTCTCTTTTGTCTAGTTTTTTTTTTCATTTTTACAAACTAAGTAGTTTGACATTATTTTTTCTTAACTGCTTCTTTATACATATTTTCTTGTGTATTTTCAGGAATCCCAGGCTTTCCAAGATAATGAGTTTATTTTACATGGCCCTCAACGATCCCCACTGCCCTTGATAATCTTTTCCTTCTGAGTGTGGACAGGACCTGGGACTTCCTTCTGACCAATAGGTTACAGCAAAGAAGAAGGCATGCCACTTCTGTGATTACGTTGCTTAATGCTGTGACTGTCCTCTTGCTAGACTTGCTCCATTGCTTGGTTCAATGAAGCAAGCTGCCATGTTGTGTGCTACTCCATGGAGAGGCCCACGTGGCAAGGAAAGGTGACACCTGGACAACAGCTAGTAAGTAACTGAATCCTGCCAACAATCACACAAGCTTAGAGATAGCTTCTTCCCCAGTCCAACCTTACGATAAGACTGCAGCCCCAGTTGGCATCTCGATTGCAGCCTTGTAAGAGACCCTGAAGCAGAGGACCCCATGCCCAGATTCCTCCAGCCGTATTTATTTATTTATTTATTTATTTATTTATTTATTTATTTATTTTTCTTCTTAGAAACAAGCTTTGAAGATGAGTAGAGATCACACTGGACTGAGAGTACGAAGAACTTGATGAAGGTTCCAGACTCAACATTAACTACCTGTAGGATCATGATTTAGTGTTCTTATCTGTAAAATGAGGAAATAGGGCCCAGAAGTTTATAAGAACTCTCATATTCTAGGGATCATCTTTTACATATGTACACTTTCCTTTCATGACCCTACAGTGAGCTAGAGTATCCCACAAAATCACACTGAAATGCCAAATTTAAATGTCTGGAGTTGCACATTTGCTCCATGTCATTCTCCCTTGCCTGCCTTATCTCTCACTAGTGCCCTGACCGTCTGCTCCTCTTGGCTTAGGGCCACCCACTCTGCCTCACATAGTTGCCCTTCAACCCTGTGAGCTTTTTCCTATGCTGTTCCTATCCTCATACCTTGTACCATAAGTTACCTACAGTCCATTCAATTTGAAAATTCTACCTTAACTCCATTACTCTCAAGGCAGCATTCCTGATAAGCAGTGGGTTTCTCCAAGCTAACTAATCCTTTCAGCTTTTAGAGTTCCTTGGGATATGTGTGTTGTCCTCCAGATTTCTGACTGGTGAGAACCCTCCTATCATTGCCTACAGGGGGCAGATCATTTTGAGCACCTTCAAGGCATTGTAATTCAGTCTAATCAGATAAAGGAGACAGCATTAACTGCACTGCAGAATCTTGGAAGTCTTGTCTAACATCACTCTGAAAAGAAAATTACATGTCCTCCTTTAAGATGAAAGGGTAAATCCCCCGGGAGACTGTTCTCAAAATCAAACTAACTTTCACTGTTCCTACCGTGTATGGCTAGGAGTCAAAAAAAACTTTGTAAAAACAAAAAATAAAGCAGTGTAACACACTGTGAAACCATAACAAATGTAAACATTTAGGGACAGCTTGGTTCAATGCAGAGTAAGAAGAAGTTGCCTCGGGCAACAAAAATTTAGTGGGTATCCTGCTAGCTCAGCCATCTGGGTTTTTTCCCTCTTTGTCTATGACTAAGCTCTTTACAACTCTGTGGAAATAAAGGTTAAATTACAGAAAACAGATAGTAATTATACTCATTTTCTATTGCTGTATAAAAAATTGCCACAAATTTAATGGCTTAAAACAATACTATTTATTATCTCTCAGTTTCTATAGGCCAGGAGTCCAGGCACATACTCTGGGTCCTCGGCTCACAGGCTCACAAGGCTGAAATTAATGTGTTACCTGGGGTGCATTCTCATCTGGACCTCAGGGTTCACTTCTAAGCTCATTCTGATTGCTAGAAGACCTCAGGTCCTTGCAGTTGCAGGCTGTCTGCTGGCTGTTGGCCAGGCCTCACTCAGTTCCTGCAGGCTGCTCTTAGGTTCTAGCCAGAGGCCCTCATAACCTCTCAGATTACTTCCTCTAAGCCAGCTGGAAAATGTCTCTCCAGGCTGCCAGGATGGAGTCTTACATAACATATCGTAATCACAGGAGCGACTATCCTATCACCTTTATTTGCCATATAATATAAACTAACTACCCACACTCAAGGCAAGGGGTATGGTGGGGGATAATACAAAGCATGTATACCCAGGGGCAGGAATCTTTGGGGCCATCTTAGAAATATGCCTATCACAGCAATGCCAAGAATTCCTATCCATAGAAACATAAATTCTGTCCAGTGAAATGCCACTAATTATAACTCTGTGGATGTTGATAAGTTTTGCTAGTTTACATCCATTTATAAATTCAATTCCTCATTCATTATCTGACTATCCATTGAGTTCTATTTTGAATCAGTTGTAATATCATTTCCTTCATTAACTAATGAGTTAACTAAAACATTTGAAGTATATTCATTTATATCTGTATGAGTTATGATTATTTCTTCTTTTAAAATGTATCCTTCCATGGCAGCAAATGAGTTATAGTGGCATGTGCCAGGCAAATATATACATGGGTCATCTGTTTGTCTATTCACTTATTAAGCTGGACTTTTCCACTCAGTTCAAATTATACAGAAATCCTAGGCACTGATTTTTTTTCAGTGTCCATCTGGTCTCCCATGCACATTGTTTGTACATCTTTACAGCCTGGCTATCTGAAAATGCACAGCTGTCCAATGAGATGAGTCAGGAATGTACCAACTGATAGTGGTCTTCTTTCTGGCTTGCTGGAAACATAGTGATGGCTCAGTGTCCAAAGCCATAAGAGTAATACAAAGGAGTCAAATGGTTTGGAGACTCAGTGTCCTGTTTAAAAAAATAGGTTCCCAGGTCTTGCAGAATCTCTCCCAAGGTGATCTCTCCCCAGGTGAATAGATCTGGGAAATCTCTGATTTTAAGAGTCAATTTAGCTTAAAAAAATATTGTTTCTCTTAAGCCTTTCTTGATCCCTCCTGGCCTTTTTTCCCTTTTTTTCTATACACATGGCATTTTTATGGGCATCTCTACTGGTACCTTCTTCACTTTATTAAATCAGTCCCTAGATTTGTCTTTCTCTCCAACTTTTATCACCTCACACCCTTCCCATTACATTGTGGGCTCAAGGAGAGCACTCAGCAAAAAAGCTATTGGCTATTAAGCACCATGCTCCTGTTACATCCTATGCTGGTTGCCTCATTTTATTCTATTAATAACAACCATGTGAGAGATCTATTATTATCCCATTACTAGGTGAGGAGAGAGGCTCAGAGAAGGAAAGTACTCACCCAAAGTTACACTGTAAAGTGGTGATTCAGCCCTAAAATCTGTCCTTTTTACTAACACTGCATAATAAATATTGGTTGGATTTATTCTAAAAATAATAAACATTAATATGGGTTTTTTGTCTAACATTGACTAGAAAGTCAAATTAGCCAAAACATTAAATATTCTTTTACATTGAATCTTGCACTTTTGTATCTCTTATGTTTTTCCAGTCCTGGCAATTTTTCTTTACTTTGCGAAGGAATTAAGTTGTAATCTAAAAAAAAAAAAAGTCTCTGTTTTTAAATCCAACAGATTATTTCATTTTCTTCACATTGATCTTGTTTTAAAATAACTGATTGTAAACGATAGTTATACACTATGTCACCATTGGGGGAAACTAGTTGAAGGATATACAAGATCTCTATTTATTATTTTTACAACTGCATGTGAATCTACAATTATCTCAAAATAAAAAGTTATTTTTAAAACTGTTTGTATTCATTCATTTCAGTTTTAAACCACCATATCAACTAAGGGATTTCATGTACTTCTCAGAAGTCTTTGTGTGTGAGCCCATGCTTATCTGGAGAGACTATCTCAACTCTGAAAGTAGTATGTGTGGAAATATGCTTAATAACTATTTTGGGTGCTACCATTTGGAAATATATTTTTATGGTTTTATCTTAGCAAGAATATTTTAACATTTGTGAGGCAAAGTAATAACAGAATGAAACATAAGTTTAAAGGTACAAAAACGAGTTGATGTGAATTTAAATAATCAATTAACCCTCATAGTAGGAATGTGCCTGAGACAGAGGCACAGATTAATTTTCCTAAGTAAATTTAAAAAGTGAGATGCTATTTAAACTTGATAGTCTAGGGCCTCAGAAACTAAATACTGAATTGAATTCCCAAATTTATTCCAAGTAGGTTCCCACATTTTTCTCTCACTACATTTTTATCTGTGGCTTACCTCTGAACATTATTAAGGATACCAAATATGTTTCTGCTGTGAAAAAAAATGCATTTGGCTGAAAAATACTTTCCCTGATTTTTACTAGTCTTGACGGTTCTAATTAACCACTTCAAACTTTAAAAACTTCTGGGCATCAAATTATGTAAAAGTTATTCTGAATAGTAGATGATTTCAATCCCTGATAAATTATTTTCTTCAGTTATTCTGAGAAATAAGCCCCCAGAAATTAACTCAAAATACTATCTGTTCTATCCATTTTTAAAAATAAGCCACACTTCGTTCTCTCCAAAATTTTTCATATCTCTTGGGCAACATTTTGCTAAAAGTGTAAGTTCACATCATTCAGAACTATAGAAATAAGCAGCATTTCTTAAGAACTAGAGAAATAAGTAACTTCCAAACACCACTGTGCTTTTTCACCTCATGAAGACAAATGAAAGGTTATTTACATTTTCCATTGTTCTATCATCCTTTGTCCTTTGTCTTTGCCAATGAGATGTGGCATGAGACAAGCTATAGCGTAGGCCCTTCACTATAAACTCTTATGCACGATTTATATTACAGTACTACGGCTTGCTGCACATTGAAAATAACTGCAGCTAGCAACTGCTGATTTGTTACTAGTGTGCATCCTATTTAGACTCCAGGCCATTCCTTCACTCTTTGCAACTCAACAGTGAGTGCTACCTTTATAAATGGTAGAGAGGAATAAATCAATGAAGGACTTAGAGAAGATTTGTGAGAGAGAACCAAAATGCTAACTATGATTTCTTTCTTTCTATATCTGCGATAGCATTTTGTAACAATCTGAGGTGGAAAGAAAGTTACCTGCTTTGGAATTATGAAGCCAAATTATATGTTCCTAAAACATATATGCTTTTCTGATAAATCACACAATTGAACCAAACAAAAATATACATTTATAAATTGATCTCTTAACCACTTCGGTACAAGCGTCGACTATAGTCCATAGCCACAGATGAACGCGCACAGCCGAGCATCGACTGTAGCCAACAGCTGTGATATGAACATGCACAGCTGAGCGTCTTTAGTCTATAATTTTGAATTGATTTTCTAATTTTTCATTTATCAAAATAAAATTGTGAATGTTTAAAAATAACATAATGCAAACATATATGTATATGTTACCTAATTCTGATTTACATTACAAGTAAAGCTGCCTGTAAAGTAAAACAAGCTTTCAGTGCTTTAAAGCTTTCCTCATCACACAAGAGCAAAACAGATTCGTCGTCAATGCACAGCACAAGCTATCGTGCGGACTATGAGTGCTGGCTGTGGGCAAGGTTTCACGGCCAGTGAGCGCTGTACTGAAGTAGTTATTAAAGACATTTCAGATCAATCAATGTCTGTTCTTTAAACAGTAACCAAAATATTTACTCTGATGGTTGCATGTCCAGGAATTACCTGTATTGCTTTCTTGTGTCATGCCCAACGGCATTGGTCTCCCAAATTTTGGTAGCCAGAACTCTAACCGTATTCAGAAACAGAATAAAATTTAGCTGAAAGACAAGGTAAGATTACAAGGAATTATTAAGGTAGTCTTTAAGATATTTATAAAAATTTACATAAATTGAACATTTTCTATTCAAAGACCAAAAGTTATCCAGTCCATAACTGTGAATGAGGGAATCTGAGATAAGCTATTGGAAGGCTAGTGATGCTTAATTTGCCCTCATGAAAACACCAAGATAAAAAGTTTTAACAGCACTGGAAATACCAGAGGATGATCTGCCAGGATCCACGGGGACTTTCTAACCCAAAGTTCAGATAAAGCCCTGTGGCAGACTGGCAGGACAAGGAAAATAGCTATTATATAAATGTAATGGATTGCTCTTTTTGAAATGAATTCCCAGCTCTTTCTCTATTTTAGGGAGAGGAATAAGAGAGTTGTTTGGGGGATACTATCTCCCCTATGATGTTCAAAAACCATTGGGTAAAGTATATAAGGTTTTTAAAAAGGCAACAAAAGGTCCCCAATGTAGGCAATTAAATGGATTTTGAAATTTTATAGGTGTGGGTGCTGCTACAGACAATCAAGCTCTGGCTTTTAAAAGGCAGGGGAGTATTGGTGAGATATGCTTTTATGCTTCTAAGACCCTTAAGGATTGGTGAAGAGATCCAAAATGAAGAAGAAAAGGTCTCCAGGTCTGGAGTCATAAAGAGATGGAAACCTGAACCCCTTGGGTACCTTCATTCAGGGAGATGCCTGCTGTCTAGAAAGTGCTACCACTTAGGAAAAACAGAAATGTAGATTGCCAAGAGTGGGCATGTGCCAATGCCAGAGCAGGAGCCAGAGAGAGGACTCATTGAGTTCTGCATTCCTGAGGATAACTTGTCTTGCATATTCCTCAATTATTTCTGGGATTTAGATATTGAAAGATTTGTGTGTCTCAGTCTCCAATTCAGCTGATCATCTACATCAGCCCTGACCCTCCATCACCCTCTTTGCCACCTACCATTGACTACCTTGTAAGCACCTCTCAACAATTTCACAGCTTTCTATAGGAACTGAAGGCTGAGTCTTGAGCCCCACACCCTGCAGGAAGGACAAAGGTGTCCTGGGAGCTGATGACAGGAGAGGGATGTTTCCAGGCTAATAATAGCTGCCATTTATTGAACACTCTCTAATTTAAAACCTCATATGAATATGAGACATACCTTATTATTTTTATTATGTCCATTTATTATGGATGAAGAAACTCTACCTCAAAGAGATTATTTGATTTTACCTGGGCTACTCAGCAATCAGCTGGAATTTGAACATGTGTGTCTGAGTCCAGACTGTGAATTCTTAACAACTATCTGATATTTTCTCTTCAAGAGGATAAAAAGATACAAAACATGAGAGTTGAGAGTTTTCACCTACTATAACACTTGACTCACATACACAGAATCCTTTTCAATAAAAAGGCGGGAAGCTGCTTGTCTATCATGTGGGTGCGGCTTTCTAAGTGGCCAAATTTATTTCATGCCCCATTAATTCCTCTCTCCCTAAGACACAGTCCCTGGCAATATAACGTAACTGGGGTAAAGATATGGGGAATTGATGCTGTGGAACTACTGTGTGAAGGACTATGTGGTAGTATCTGAAGTTGGAAGAGCTGTGGGGGCAATGCCAGCTGGGGATTGTCATTTGTCATTCCCTATTCCTGGAAAAGGAAGAAGTATAGATGGTTTCCGGACAGGCCAATCTTAAGTTCCACCGTATTAAAATGCCCAGGACCAAGCACTCTGTCCTCAGGTCAGTAGATCATACTAAACAAACACTGCAACCCTCCAGAAACTTAACTAAAGGAAATAAACACCAATCAGTCCATCCATTTAATAACTGAGAAGATACGTTCAAGGGCAACCAACTGGATTATGGAAAGAATTAAGAAAAATTAAGACTGACTAGAACTTGCTGGATAAGTAAACTTACAGGATAAGTAAATAAAATCACACACACACACATGCACATACACACAAACTGATACATGCAACAATAGCTGGATGAAATTCTAAATAATTATTCTGAATAATTTAGGCAAATATAGACTATAGGTTAATTAGAACCTAAGTTATGGACAACTTGCTATTCTGAATGTTTTACACAAATTGACTCTTAGTCTTTGCAACAGCTCAACGAAATAGGCATATTATTGTGCTCATTTTACAGATGAGGAATTGGAGGCACAGACTATGCAAAGTATGCCTGGCCACATAGCTAGCAAGTGGCAGAATGCTGATGCCACCCATGCAGCCTGGATCCACAGTGTGTAATCTTAACCACAGCACATACTGTCCATAAAATAGAGCTGAGTTAATAGCATGTTGAGGTGAAGGCAGAAATGATTTAAGAGCAGGATGGATTAAAAGATTGTAAGAAATCTAAAATATAACCAAGTCTTAAAATCAATATTAGAAATAGCAAAGAGTAGATCTGACAGAGCAGAAAAATGAATTCAGCAATTTAGAAGATACCTGAAGAATCCTTCCAAGTGGAAGGAAAAAGAAAAAAGGATTGTATGATGATGTATATATACGATGCTTATATGGAGGGCATGAAACTGGGAGTAAACATGCTGATTATTTCGCTTTCTGAAGAAAATATGACGAATAGAACAAATCAATAAAGACTTAAGAGGAAAAATCCTAACTAAAGAAAAATCTCGAGTCTGAAGACAGAAAAGTGGCATTATATAAAGGCCAAAGGAATAAAAGAGAACAAGACAAAGAGGAAATTCTGGTGAGATTTTAGTAGTATTAGTAATAGTAGTAGCACTAGTAGTAGTACTATTAGTAGTAGTAGTATTCTAAAGGATGAAGACATGGTTCTAAGAGATAATCAACAGAGAGTCCTTGCATAGCTCATGCAACATTCTTGGAGAGAAAATTTTGCCTGAAGTTCTACTTTGAGCAAACTACAGATAAAACAAAGAAATGAAAAACAGAGAAGGTGTGGAATAAAATGACCATTAGTAAGCATTAAAGCCAATAATACATAGAATGAATTTTGTGTAAATAGGGTTTTAAAGATGTAAATATAGAAATTAGATCCTTCCTCAATTAAAGATGCAAATAAATTTAAAGATATATTTGAAGTGAACCACAGAAGAATTAAGACAAAGAACTCAAAATTTCAGCCATGATCTCTCTGGCTCCTCAGGCTACCATATCTCTGAGAACTGGGTCCTGGAGTTCCCTTTGCCTGGCTCCTTCTCCCCACTCCTCCCACTCACTGTCCCTTACCAGGTCAGTTGTCAGTTTCAGACTGGATGTCACTTTCTCAGAAGCACTTGTCACATTTAAATGTTTGCCTCACACACTAAGCTTAAGCTGTGTGAGGAGAAGCAGGTATCTCTCTCCTCACTCTCTCATCTCATCATTGCCTGCAATGCTGTTGGTGTTTGATCAAGATTTGTTAAAAGAGTGAGTGAATAAATGAGTGAGTGAGACATGCACACTCCAAACGCTACTTATATTGGGGTAAATCAGCATATCCCCCTTCAATGTAGAATTTTTACTTCCAGATGTGTCTCATAAAAGATATAATCAGAAAAAGAAGTCAAAATGTAGGTATAGGAATGTTGATTATTATGAAATATTTATAAAACCATTTCTTTACAGTTGAAATTTTCATCTATGCCCCTGGATACATGCCAGGGAAGGGTGCCTTCTCCCCAGTCCTGATTTTTTCCTTTCAGGGAAAGAGACTCAAGTGATATGCACATCTTTTCTCCCCCCGCCCCTTTATTCACTCCATCGCTGGAGGAGAGGGATTGAAGTATTTGATGAGTAAATGTGGGAAGAGATACTGAGTTTGCTTGACACAGCCCATCCTTCCTTATCTTGGGAGCTTGCAAGTTTGTGTCCTCCAGCTCAGCTCAGCTTCCAGCAGCAATAAGGGTTTAGTTTTAGTTCTCCCTCTCTCCCTTTGCTTTACATCTCAACTTATTTAGAGTCAGGGCAGCAAAAAGAGATATTATGCATTAGCTACTCTCAGAGATTCTCTGAATACATCAAACCTTCTCACCATAGAGTGGCTTATTTTTCAATATTATAAAAATAAGAAATTTTTTGCTTTGCTTATTTGCATATTGGTACCAACTATGGAACTTCTAAATAATAGGTTAATAAAATCCCTAACCTATAGCAAATACTATAATTTGATTGTGTAAGGGGTATACAGACAAAATATATACCTCATTTTTTATCAGTTGGAATTCAATTTATAACTTAGGGACAGCATCTATGGTAAATGTTAAAGCTTTGATTTCATTTGAAGTTTTATTTCTGACTGATTTAGAAAAGGAAAGGAGTTTCAACATATGAATTCTGGGGACAAAATAAAAAGAAAAGGAGTTCTGAAAAGGAGATTTTTCTCTGGGGAAAAATCAACCTGGTATTTGTGATTGTGTCAAAGATCAAAGATTAAATTTTATCTATTTTTCTTAAAATTCCTTCTTTACCAGTCATCCCTCTCATCTCCACCCCTTGTTTTTGTTGATTGCACCTCCTTTAGTAATGATTGGGGGAAAATGAATCAATGATCCAACTGCGGCTGACAAGCATGTACCTTGTTTGTCTCCTTTTCATATTTTAAAAAGTATACTGGATATGACATTTTTAAAACTTATCACCTAGAGTTTTTCCTGAAGCCTTTTATTAGAAGTACCATCTTATTCTTTCTGCTAGAATTCCCTAACATATCCTTTGACAGGTATGTGGAACAAAACATTTATAAGGAAAAAAAAAAAAAACAGAAAATCTTGACCTCTCTATTTAATGCACTCTAAGTCTTATGCAGCCTCCTCAACTCACCTGCTTGGTTAGTCATTCAAATTAGAACATCACTCACACAATGAGCAAGCCCATGACAAACACTGCAGACTATTTATTGAACAAAAAGATTAGTTCCTAAAATGGATGCATAATGGTAATGTGAGGCCTGGTAAAGTAAACATCTAGAATCAAATAAATATTTACCAATAAAAAGTGACCCCCAGATGAACATGCT